CCAGTGCTTCTCAACCAGGGTTATGCATACCCCTGGGAGTATTGAGAGGTCTTCCAGGGATACATCAACTCATCTAGATATTTGCCTAGTTTTACAACAGGCTACATAAAAAGCTCTAGCAAAGTCAGTACAAACTACAATTTCATACAGAAAATGGCTTGTTTATACTGCTCTATATACTATATACTGAAATGTAAGTATAATATTTATATTCCAATTTATTATAACAGAGGTAGGCAACTTCTGGCATGCGAGCTGATTTTCAGTGGCACTCACGCTGCCTGGGTCCTGGCCATGGGTCCGGGGGGCTCTGCATTTTAATTTAATTTTAAATGAAGCTTCTTAAACATTTTAAAAACCTTATTTACTTTACATACAACAATAGTTTAGTTATATATTATAGACTTATAGAGAGAGACCTTCTAAAAACTTTAAAATTGTATTACTGGCATGCAAAATCTTAAATCACAGTGAATAAATGAAGACTCGGCACACCACTTCTGAAAGGTTGCCGACCCCTGTATTATAATATGGTAAAAATGAGAAAGTAAGCAATTTTTCAGTAATTGTGTGCTGTGACACTTTTGTATTGTTATATCTGATTTTGTAAGCAAGTAATGCTTATGCATTTTGTGATGTAGTTATGGGTGGCTGTGCCTGACCTTCCATTGCGGGAAGTCTAAAGGAGTAACTTGCGGTCCAGAGGATGACTTTAAAAATCATTACATCTGATTCAGAAGTTACCTGATACCTTCAACATGTTTTTTTAAAATTGCTTTGTACATTTTTTAAGAGCATGAGACCTCTTTGGATGTGGAGCAAGTCAGACACAGCTTGTAATAGCATAGGTATACCTGCATGTCACAGTGAGGAGGGCCCACTCAATCTAGTCCTATGGAGAGTCTTGCTCTACTTTAACATTCTGTTCCCTGCAGAAATACCTCTGGCCACTCACATGTTGAATTGGAATTTTAACCAGCAGGTTTCCTTTATATTCTTTTCTTTCCTACTCCATTACTTCCTTCCTCTACCCCAATTAAATACACACAAACTGCCCTACATGTAACTTACAAAGCTGTGCCAGTTCGTCATCATACTCATTCACTTGTAATATTTTATCCCCATGCCCTCCCTTTATGAAGGGGAGGGTTTTTCTCTTTTCTGTTTGTGTAGCACCCAGCTCAATAGGGTACAGATCTCAATATAGTAGTGCCTACAGGGTTCAGTTTAATATAAATATTTACAATAAAAATGAGAGTAACAGAATACATGGTAATATTGCTCTTATTTTAGCTCCTTACTAACCATTGTGCACTTTCTATGTATAGCCCAAACCCATCATTCTGCACTGCAACACAGTAAAAAAAACCAGGCTTCCACCTCATACCCTTAATCAGTTTCAGCCTGGTTCTGCTCCTACTGAAATCAGTGGCAAATCTTCTTTTGCATGGCTGCTCAGCCTTAGGGTTATGAACATATTGTGTGTCTGTCTGTTCATGCACACACGTTTCTTTTGGCATATGGGAACATCATATAGAAAAGGTTGAGAACCACAGTCCTATTGCATTCAGTGGTAGGAGTATTGGGCCTTTGCATTTTAAAAATAAGAGTACCCTCTCTGATCTTCACTACAGGAGAAGCTCTGGCATGTTCAAACTCAACACTGTCTGTAGAGAAACTCCATTCTGGAGAACAGGATGTCACACTGTTTCTACACATGCATCTCTCTTGCTTAGAATATCAAAACAAAATCATGGCAATAAGCATCCAAATGCATATGAAAACAAAATTCCTCTAAAGGAACTAGACAAAAAGCATAGCAGTTACTTGCACAATAAGGCTAAAGGCTAACCCCCTTTGCCTAGTTCAGCAAGAATAAAGCTATTAGCCCAGTCCACTAAATACTACTAATCTTGGTGGTGACAAGATACCACTGATAAGGCCAGGCCAAGAGGTGAAAATGAGGGCAAATTTAGGATTTAGCACGACTAAAGGGAGTGGATATTTGATCACATTTAGTCTATTCCAGATCTTTGGGTAGTCTTTACACAGGTATGTTTTAGGAGGGAAGGAGTTAAAACCAGCACCACACTTTAATCTTGTCAGGTTTTGTTTTGGAATCATCCATCTGATAACTTTGAGCTGACAACTGCATAAAGCCTTCTAAATACTTTGGCAGCTAAAAAGAATGCTGTCTCTTTAGGTGCAAGGAACTAGTGAAAAGTAGCTTTCCCCCACCAAGTTGGTAAGAATAAAATATACCTGATTACTGCTGTATGTATGGTCATGTAATGAGGGACTCTCAAGATCCACAACGCCCTGTCAAAGTATATTAGTTTTAAACATTAGATGCCATTAACCTTTATCACAAGTCCCAAACCCTACACAATAGAAAAATACATTGTGTTACAGAATATATTATTTTGATCATGAAGACAACCTTTGATAGTTTGATAATTATTCTTAAATTGAAGTAAAGGTCATCAGAATGTCATTTCAGCACTGACACTCAATGACAGAAAAGCAAAGATTGAGTTTCGTGCCTGTAAATTTCACTTAAATAATAAATGGCCCCAGTTTGTCTGTTCACTTAGGTCCCTTCTGTTAGTTTTCCCATAATTGTGCTAGATCAGCAGACAAGTGAAATGGCAGATTCATCACTGATAGAATCTTTGTTTAAGATTTATAATCCTTTAGTTTGTGTGTTTTTAGGACTTGAGGGCATTTTCCAGTAGCTCTTCTTTATCGTGTAGGGATTTGTGTATCTTTAACTGGGAATTAATTTAATCCTTAAATTAAATGACACCAGAACCATAGCCTTCACTAGTTGTCAAGTTAGAATTTAAATTGCTTTCTGAAAAATTTAGAAAAAATTTCAAGGAACAAGAAAATCATAACCAGAAATTGCATATGAGAAAATATATAACTCTGGAGTGACTTAGTCATGAATTCTCTCAAGAAAAAAAATTAACTATTTTTTTAATGACAAACCTCCCCCCTCCCCCCCACTAGAGAATAGTAAATACATGGTCCCTGCCAGAATAGCCTATAATTTCTATCAGTTCAAGATTGTATGAGAAAGTCAAAAATAGAAGGGGAGAAAAGAAAGGGTTCAAACTGAAAAAAAAAAAAAAGATGAAAGTTCAGCTCTGTCCCAAATCAAATGCTCCACTCAAACAAATATGCCCCATGCAATCTGAGACATCAAAATGAGATTCCAAGACTCTCTTCTTTTTTGCATATTCTGATCAGCAATTAAGTAGTTAATGTTGCCATTTAAAATATAATCATTAGGCTCTGGCATTAGCACCCCAATGAGATGAATAAGGGCAAGTTACACACTTTAGAGCTATTATTTCAGGCTATCTGCAAACTCAAGCAGACAGCATTACATTGGTTTGTTTGGTTCAAAATTTGAGGATTTTTCTCATTGCTCTAAGAGCTGGAGATTCCTCTCTCTCCCCCCTTGCAAAAAACAAAAACAAAAAAATCAACCAAACAAGCAATCTTAGATTCTGGATCACAAGTTGGGAACATCCATGTGATTGTTCAGCTATAGCAAGCTGGGATGTGGAGGAAGCACTCCCACTGAAGTTAGCGTCAGAGCATTCATTAGTTTTAATGGGATCAGTATGAAGTCCTGCATACAGACGTTTTCCAACATATCTTATTTCCTTTTCTAACAAAATGGTAACTTTTTGTAACTCTGAAGTTCTTTCCTGACAAGAGTGACGGTATTTTTGTCTGACGTCGAGGCTTTAACTATTATCACTAGTGTTTTATGATGCAATGTGTTGGATGTCAGCTGGTGACAAATAAAATATTTAGACAACTTCTGGTGATGATTTGTCAGCAAAGTAACGTTTAAGTGGAAGAATATTCTCTGTTTAAGATATTTTGGCAGTGGCTTAGAAACAATACAGTATACTTTGAGATTTCCTTTGAGTTTAAGAAGCTGGACCAGTTTTCTATGACATTTACAGCAGTTCCATGGGTCCGGAAGAATTTTATTTTTAGTACTCTTAAGAATTGTAATTTTTTAATATTAAAGAACATTAGAAGAAGGATAAGAAAGCAATTTAAGAAAAACCAACTAATATATTTAAATGGGAACTTGTTTGGATTTTTCTTCATCCCCCACCTTTTCTCCTGGTTTTGGGAAATCCTATCACTTTTAATAAGGCTAATAAGATAGGAAAACAAGGATATTCTTGATATGCAGAAATACATATCTAAAGAAAATCCATTGTGCACTGTATGTCCAAGGCAAGTAAGATACCCCTCAGAAAAAAAATTAGAAATGCAATCAGTTTTAGACAATTAAAAACATTTTATTAATATTACTGTACAGTCACAATGCATACACTTGAATTTACCAAGACTGGTCAAAAAAAGGGTGGGATATTCAAGAGCACTCAGTGTTGGCCTAACTCTGCTCCCACTGAAGTCAATGAGAGTAGAATTAAGCCAAACATTAAATGCTTTGGAATATCCCACCCTCAAATGTGCAAGAAAAAAAAATCTAGGGGTAATTGAACAGATTACTTCAGATCCAGAGCATAGCTAAACAAATGTATATGGAAGAATTCAGTTCCCAGAATGAAGTATTTTGTCGTTTAATACTGTAGGTCTCTCTACATTAAGAAATAAAACCATTTCAACAATCAATTTGTTTAATAATAAATAATAATACGTAGCTCTTAAATAACACTTATCAGTAGATCTCAAAGCACTTTATAAAGGTCAGTATCATATACATAGTACAGATGGGGAAACCAAAGCAGAGTGGTGAAGTGACTTGCTCAAGGTCACCCAGCAGACTAGTAGCAGAGCTGGGAACAGAGCCCATATCTTCTGAGTCCCGGTTCAGTACTCTATGCCACACAAGGTGAACCAGTGCGGACCACAGCTTAATTTAGATACAAATTCATCTATTCCAGTTGTTGAAAGAGTTAGATTTCTTAGCACTGACAAGCCTTTGACTTTTCTTACATTGTGTTTCTAAAAATTATTGTAGTACTGTAGTGTCTTATTCTAACAGGGTCTGGTTCCAATTAATTTCTGTTACAAATGCCTTTGTCAGCAAGGAAAAACATTTGGTTTACTTCACTAATGGGAATATCCCTCAATGCAGGGATTGCTTCTTCTTGAGATTTCTTCTGCTGCTGATTTTTTGCAAAGTTATCTGTAGGAAATATGACAAAAGACATTTCACTATTCCATGATTTAAAAATGATGGTATAAACTGAAATGCTTTGTTTTCCTGCTAGAAGTGTTGCTAGACTCCTACACTTCATCAACATAAAAGCATACTGCTCTGATTTTACATCACATCCAGCTACAACCTAAATCCTATGCAACGTTTAACAGAGTGAAATTCGAGAAACATCCCACTTTTAGTAAACCAGAATGATGCTGTAAATGTCTGAAAAGCGAATACATTTAGTTGGTACTGTCAGTTTATCTACAGTAGATGTTAACATTCTGCTCCCTCTAGCAAAGCAAGTTCCATAGTGCTGATTCAAGAAAGACTTGGGGCTAAATTCTGCCTGTGGATGTGTGCTGCTGACCCTTTTCGTTCTTGACCTCAGCAGCTTTCTATCAAGTCATCAGTCTAGTCACCATCTTTACTGCAGAGTCTACACTTGGCTCTTTCCACTTCAAAGAACAGTTCAGTGGAAGCAAGTGAAAATAAGTCAATGAAGCATGCCTTAAATATTAATTTTGTTGGTTTTCATTAGAAGTGAATGGACATGGCCAAATGGTGCTGTCAATTGGGACAATTTAGCTTTAGCATGGCCTCAGATTCTAATGATCTGGGTAATTTTTGAATTCTCCTATGTTCTTGCTCAGGAAAAGCAGTTATCAGCAAATAAAAGAAATACCATCTTGAGAAAGATGGGAAAATATTGAGGAAGCCACCTATATTTCAAGTATTCAGAACTGGATCAGTGGGCAGAAATAAAATCCATGGGAAAGAGTAGCAAATGCTAGACTGTAATGGTTGTCCTAAAGAAGATACATTTGGAAAAAAATAAAACAGTCAAAACTTGTAGTTATAACATTGTATTGAAATGAAGTTTGAACAAAATATATAATTGTTTGTAACAGTCCTGCAATCATAGAATATCAGGGTTGGAAGGGACCTCAGGAGGTCATCTAGTCCAACCCCCTGCTCAAAGCAGGACCAATCCCCAGACAGATTTTTGCCCCAGATCCCTGAATGGCCCCCTCAAGAATTGAACTCACAACCTCCTTGGGTTTAGCAGGACAATGCTCAAACCACTGAGCTATAATACACCAATACATTAAACATAGGTGCAAATTCAAGGTTTTGAATTTGGTTTAGTTTAGTAATACCAGCAAGTATGTTTACAGTGATTGTCAATAACTTTTGTAGAAGGCTTAAGAACTATACAAGAAAATTATCAACTACCTGTAATGGTGTGCATGGAGTTGAGTGGAGCAGTACTCATCATGTTAATACCAAAGAGTAATATATAGCCAATTCCTAAAGTAACTAGAAGGTATACAGGCAAAGCAACTGCCCAGTACCTGCAGAATAAAATATTTATTTTTAAATGACATTTCGCAAAAGAAAGTCTTTAGTAAAAAATTATTTCCAGCTCTAAATCAAGCAAGACAGTACAGAAGTAGAAACAAGTACACCTCTACCTCAATATAACGCTGTCCTCGGGAGCCAAAAAAATCTTACCTCGTTATAGGTGAAACCGCATTATATCAAACTTGCTTTGATCCACCGGAGTGCGCAGCCCCCACCCCCACAGCGCTGCTTTACCGTGTTATATCCGAATTCGTGTTATATCGGGTCGCGTTATATCAGGGTAGAGGTGTATGAATATAAAGTGGATAGAAAAAATAGTTATAGCTAAGACCACCACACTAAAAACAGAAGACCCTGAAAATGCAGTTCATTAACTAAGGACCCATTGTGACCAGTATGGCATAATAGCCAAATAAATGTATTAGACAGTTTTTTTGGCAATTTAATTTAATAAAATTTACCATGATATTTCAGAAAAAAAACTTAATTAAACCAAGCTGCCAAATTACTTTAAGAACATAACAGACAGGTGTACTGCACTTCATTTTAGCTTGCTGATAATTTTTCAGAGTAAACTGTTGTTTGTGAAACATTACTTTACATAAATACTGTAGCTGTTTGTGAGGAGAAACATATTAAATCTTCTTTTTCAAGTTGGATTAAATGTAAAATATTTTAAATGTAAAAGGACACTGGCACAATTTTTCTGGGTATGTGTTTGTTCTTCCACATGTTTAACAGTGAATGAATTTAACCTACTTTTGAGGCCAGTATGTTAGTCCTAGTGAGAATAACCAAGATTCAGGAACATACGCCCATACAAGGTATAACACTGTGCAAAAAGAGTAAAAGTTAATATTTTGATCATAATTGTACAGTTTACATTGTTTTAAGAGACAAATTAATTCTAGATCTAGTTAGCACCGTCATTACAGAGGAGACAAACAAATTATAAAAATTTTCTCTATGGATTCCAAAAAGCATCTAAATAGGTCTACTGAAATACTGCAGAGAATGCTACCGTGAACACAAACTATGCCATAGGGATGCAAACTTTATAACTGATGGTACTTTAATTCTCTTCTTCATATTTGTTTTCTAATTCCAGAATAAAATAGACAAGAATTCCTTGCATCATTTGTCAATTTTTAAAAAAGGTTAAAAATTTAATTTAAAATTAATTTTAAACATTTGTATTTTAAAAACATTGGTCCAAGGTATTTCTCTAGGTCTTCAGAAATATGTACAAATGACTATGTATGTAGAACTATATGACAGCACTAAACCACAAAGGGTCTAATTCTGCAGTCAAAACTAGCAATGATGTTAATGCAGGGGCAGGCAAACTTTTTGGCCTGAGGGCCGCATCGGGTTTTGGAAATTGTATGGAGGGCCAGTTAGGGGAGGGGGGCGTGGCCCAGCCCCCACCCCCTATCCACTCCCCCTTTTGGCCCCGTGATGGCCCCCCCGGACTCCTGGCCCATCCAACGCCCCCCGTTCCCTGACCCCCCCCGGAATCCCCGCCCTGACTGCCCTGCGCCACCCCATCCAACCCCTCCTCTCCTTCCTGACTGCGCCCCAGGGACCCCTGCCCCATCCAACCACCCCTTCTCCCTGTCCTCTGACTGCCCCCCCCGCCCCATCCAACCCCCCCCGACTGCCCCCCCGACCCTTGCCCCCATTCAACCCGTTCCCCACCCTCTGACTGCCCCGACCCCTATCCACACCCCCACCCCCTGACCACCACCCCGAACTCCCCTGCCCTCTATCCATCCCCCTCTCCCCCTGCTCCCTTACCGCACTGCTTGGAGCACCGGTGGCTGGTGGTGCTGCAGCTGCGCCACCCGGCTCAGCACAGAGCCAGCCATGCACCGCACAGCACAGAGCACCGGGTCAGGCTGCGCTGCCCCAGGAGCTCATCGCCCTGCCGCCAAGAGCATTGCACTGGCGGTACAGTGAGCTGAGGCTGCAGGGGAGTGGGAATAGCGGGGGAGAGGCCGGGGGCCAGGAGCTCAGGGGCCCCACGGGCTGGATGTGGCCCGCAGGCCGTAGTTTGCCCACCTTTGTGTTAATGGGTAATTTGACTACACAAGGATAGCAGGATTTAGCCATTAAACACCCCACCCCCAACAAAACCAATTAACTCCCAAAATGAGACATCTGTGGAGTACCAAATATTATTTTAATAGAATTCCACACATCTTGAATGAGATTTTCTTTTTTAAATACTTCAGTTCTTTACTACAGTATGCCACTTAAGGGGCTATCACAATAGAAACGATAAAATGTAAAGACCCAAAATATGGATTAGGATAGCATTGTACTAGGTACTGTACAAACAAAGACACAATGACAGCTCTTGCCCCAGAGAGCTCAAAAACTAGAATTCTGGCAAGTGAGTAAACATATAAATGGGGAATTGGTGGGGAAGGATAAAGTAACAGAGTCACTAGTCCTAACTGTCACAAAACTGAAACAAGAGTTACAACAACCTAGTACTGGAAGAAATGTTTTTAAAAATGCATATTTTACTGAAAATATATTTAGAATGGGAGTAAATTTGAGATTACTGATTTCAATGCCAATGAAGCAAGTATTAATTCAAAAATATTTCTCTTAAGAGGAACAGTAAGGTCAGTTTTGGCTCAAAAGTTAAGGTTTTACAACCTCTTAGAACAACAGAACAGTTACTAGCAAGAGGATACAGAAGATGGAATCCCAGAGTAGAGTCTCGGGAACACCCTTGGAGTGGAGCCCTCCTTAGCTCCATCCTTGCTGAGCTGCTTGAAATGGGAAGGGTTCTGGGATTCTTACAGCCAGGTGCTTTTCTGTCCCTGAAATATCTGGTGCTCCATTTTTCATCTCTGTCTTTGATATGCTAAATCTGAAGTCCCTAAACTATCCTCTAACTGTTGGAAGAGAAGGAGCATACCTTCTCTATTTAGTTTTCCCCACCCAAAAGCCTTACACTTGCTGCAAGGGAGTATGGGCTCTTTACTCCACTTCTTATCAAGTGAGTATCTCCAGCACCTTGCTCTGTTGTGGCTCATCATTGCTGAAAGCAGCAGCACAGTGAAACTGATGTGATTTTCATCAGCCTTTATCCTTTGAGTATCAGTCCCCATTTTCAGAATTTGTGTTTTGCATCTTTGACTTCTACACAGGTCACAAAGTGCCAACTGTGTACACATGATATGCTGTACACTCAGCCTACTAGAAAGATTTTCAATTAACTCCCTGAAATATAGCTGTTCCCTCAGCACACTCAGCTATGTGGCCACCAGCAGCAGTATCAGGGAGAACAAAATCCAAAAGAATAATACAAGGGAGAACTGACAAGACTTGGATTACCCCATAAAGTTGCAAAATTAACAACAGTTCAGAGAAACAAGCTTGGGAGGTAATAACTTTTATTGGACCAACTTCTGTTGGTGAGAGAGACAAGCTTCTGAGCTTGGTGAGAGAAAAGCATTAGAGCCCGGTGTAAACTCAAAAGCTTGTCTCTCTCACCAACAGAAGTTGGTCCAATAAAAGATATTACCTCACCCACTTTGTCTCTCTAATATCCTGGGCCCAACACAGCTACAACACTGCAAATAATAGTTCAGTCCTTCTTTACAACTAATATCATTTTTATTACTTGAGAAGTATTAACACAGAGTTAATCTTTTTTAAAACTGCTACATCTTACTAGAGGCACTATTGTACAGTATTCATTTCTGCCTCTTAATACAGCAAATACATGTAGCACTTTACTCAGAAAGCAAACATACTTACTAAAGCCAAACTGGGAGCCTAAGAAAAGAACAAACCCATATATTGCTCTTTCAGGCAATGGGGCTGGAGAGTTTTCAACCATGTTAGTCTCTTCTTTTTAACTGAGAGAAAGAAATTAATTACAAGAAGCTATTAGCTACACATCACCTTAGGATAGTGTTGCCAATTTTCTAATTGCACAAAACAGAACATTGCCCCGCCCCTTCTCCGAGGCTCCTCCCACGCTCACTCCATTCCCTCTCCCCCACCCTCACTCATTTTCACCAGGCTGGGACAGGGGGTTGGGGTGCAGGCTCCGGCTGGAGGTGTGGGCTCTGGGGTGGGGCTGGGTATGAGGGATTTGGGGTCAAGGAGGGGGTTCTGACCTGGTGCAGAGGGTTGGGGTGAGGAAGGGGGTGAGGGGCAGCGCTTATCTCAGGTGGCTCCCGCAAGCAAGCATATCCGGCTCCTAGGTGCAGGGGTGGCCACAGGGGTTCTGTGCGCTGCCCGCAGCTGCCGCCCCCACAGCTCCCGTTGGCCATGGTTCCTGGCTAATTGGAGCTGCAGAGCCGGCGCTCGGGGCAGGGCTAGCACGCGGAGCCCCCGTGGCTGCCCCTGCACATAGGAGCCACACGCCGGCCACTTCCGGAAGCCGTGCTGAATCAGGGAGCCTGACTTAGTCCCGCTGCACTGCCAACCGGATTTTTAGCAGCTCATCAGCAATGCTGACCGGAGCCACCAGGGTTCCTTTACGACCGTTCCGGTTGAAAACCGAATGCCTGGCAACTCTACAATAGGGATTTTGTATAGGTTTCGAAGATGCTGAGAAACCCGTGAATATGCTATTCCTCTCACTTTCATCTTCGATGTGGCTGTGGGGAATGGGAATCAAGTAGTGTGGTTCCTGGTGCAATGTGGGTAGACCCATACTACTAGTGCTACCTGTTGCCACGGCTCCTAGCAGGGGAACCTGCAGTCTAACTGGATTAGTAATTGCTGCCATAGACAAGACGACAGGGCTTGAAAGAAGCAGTATTTCCTGCTCATCTCAGCACCAAGCACGTTGTTGGGCAGAGGCTGCCCCTGCCGGGGCGAAGACCCGTGCGGAACCCGGTTTTCCTTGCAGCGGAGTTGGGCACCCAAAAGACGCCTCACTCCACTCCGGGGCAGCGCGGGCAAAGTACGGCCCGTGGGTGCCAACCCCCGGCACCTTTCGGACCAGCCACGACCCTCCTCGCCATCAATGCGGAGACGGGCTGTGAACTAGGTAGGCCCTCGAGTAAATCCAGCGACACCGGGACCTTCGTCCCATCCCCTGCCCCGGGGCGCTTCGCCGCGGCCAGCGCCAAGACCCCGGTGCCTCCCGCGGGGGGGCGGGGAAGCGGGCAGCAGCGGCGCTGCAGAGGGCCGGGAGCCACATTCGCCCCCACGCCGCGGCGCGGGCGCCGGAGGCTCTCGGTGTCCTGGAGGCTGCAAGGTCCTCAGGACTTGGGCGTCTCCTCCCACCCCCGTGAAAACTGCCGCCCGCGCCGCGCTCAGTGCGGCCATTTGACACCCCGGGGGGAAGCAGCAGCACCGGGCCGGGGCGGCGCCTCCGGTTCTCCCGCTCTGCCCATCCCCCTCTCTCACCTCCCCCCGGCCTGCTCCGCGTGCGGCCCGGGACTCCCCAGGCCAGTGAGCGAGCGAGAGAAAGGAATGGGGAGGAGCGCCCAGCCCAGCCGTCCAGGACACATCCAGAGCGCAACGCAACTTCTTTCTGCGCGCATGCGTGGTGAAACGACAGACACGCGTGAGCGGCGAAGTTGTCGCCTGCGCATGACGTTACAAGAAGCCGTCGGACCCGCTTTCCCGGTCTCTACCAGCAAGCGTAAGGCGCCATCGACGTGTGTCTCTTCCTCTCGCTCAGGAAACGCAAGGTCCCGAGGAGCCCGTTCCCCTTTCTAAAATCCCTGACGTCAGAAGGCAGGCAGCCAATAGAAGGTCTGGGAGGAAGGGGGGCGGGGAAGTGGCTGTTTAGCCTGAGGTTCCGCTCGTTGGCCGTGGCGCCGGGCTGTGCGGCTGAGCAGGAAGCGGGCGGTATCGCTGCTCTCGGGGCTCGCCCGGCCTGGTGAGTGAGGGAGCGTTGTAAGGGGTGCGCTTGGGGTGTCGGTTGAACGATCGTTTCTGGGCTCGCGCTGCCTCCGCCTCCTCTCCACGTGGCGGGGGGGGGGGGGGGGGGTTGGCCCCGGGAACCCCGGTGCCCCCGGGGGGGGGGGGGGGTCACGGGGCGCCCTCGGCTCCCCCGCCGCGTGGTGCTGTCTGCCAGGGGTGCCCCAGTGAGGAGGGAACAGGAGCCCGCAGTCCCCATCCGCCCGGGCTCCGGCGAGTCCCGCTCGCGCCCCTGGCACACCCCAGAGCCCCTGCGGCGGGGCCAGGCCGCGTCCGGTCGCGGGGAGAGGCTGCCCGGGCTCTGGGTCGCTGCTGGGTTGGCCCGAGGAGCTTCCGGCGCCCCCGTTCGCGAAAACTTGGGCGAAGTGAACTAAGTGTCACGCGAGGCGGCGTCCAGCCCCCCGCGAACAGGGGCCCGGGCCCCGGCCTTCGCCCGCCCTCCGAGCCCCGGGCTTCACCAGCCTCCGCGCTTCAGGGGCGGGCGGGCGGGCGAGCGAGCGAGCGCCCGTCCCTGTGGTGACTGACCGCCGTGAAGAACTGGCGTTGTCTGCACTAACGTGTACCTGTGTCATGTGAAATGGGGTTGACGGGTTAGTTCTGTAAGTGTTACGATCAGCCCTAGTTAGCTTTGGGTCACAAGAGCCGAGACATGACTGCAGACTGCTTTAATTGCCCCGTACTGAAATAGACAATGCCTGGGATCTACTGTATGATAAAGACTACAGGTAAGCGCCCCTGCGGGGAAACACCCAAATCCGTCTGGACCAGGTTGCCAAGTCAGACAAAGGAACTTGGGAATCCTGAACACAAGGAGTCTCTGGAATGGATAAAATTGAACCAGGGAGCTGAGGTGAGAGACTTGCGGACTGGAGAGCTCAGCCTATCAGGAAGGCAGCAGTTACAGGGGGCAACCTGTCTCACCCTGGCCAAGCTTGGGGTACTGGGCTTAAGCAGAACTTCCATAAACAGGCAAGGGTGGGCTGGGTTTAGGTAGGAAATATATGTATAGGCTTTTTTATTTAAAACCCTATTCTCTCTCCTTGTTATGTTTCTGTCAATGAATAATTTACTCGTTTTTGAAGAACGTGTCCTGCATTTCATATTAGCCGCAAGCTCCCAAAGAGGAGTCTAGTTAAACCCAGTTGCACAAGCTGAGCTATACATGACTGGTAAATGAGGGATGTTGTAGCCTGTCTAAAGTGATCCTGTCTAAAGTAGTGTGAATTGTGGGGTTCTGCTCTGGGAGAAGTGCAGGTAGAGGCTTGCTACTTGGAAGAAGTGCCCATGGAGAGACTGAGGCCTTGGCTACACTTGCAGATGTACAGCACTGTGAGTTAAACCTGACTTCATGCAGCTGAGTAGGGAAAGCGCTGCAGTCTGTCCACACTGACAGCTGCCCAGCGCACTGTCGTGGCCACATTTGCGGCAATTGCAGCGCTATTGGGAGCGGTGCATTATGGGCAGCTATCCCACAGAGCACCTTTTCCCATTCTGGCGCCGTGAATTGTGGGAAGGGGGCGTGGGTGCGGGGGATTCTGGGTCCTGTCCCAACGCCCCGTGATGCATCGCTTCGCATCCCAGAAATCCCTTTGTTTCCGTCCACCTTTGGCGCCATCTTTCAACGGTTTCTGTGCAGCGCGATCTGTCTGCGGGAAATGGAGCCCGAACTGCTGAGGCGTATGCTGATGAGTCTCGTCAGCACGTCACGTTTGGGTGTCGAACTATTCCTTAAGATCCAAAGTGAGAGTGAGGGTGAGGAGTCCGACGATGCTATCGCGCTGCGTAACACGTACGACACGAAATTGGTTGTGGCATTCACGGACATGCTCAGCACCGGGGAATGCCGTTTTTGGGCTCGGGAAATAAGCACCGAGTGGTGGGATCACATCGTCATGGAAGTCTGGAATGACGAGCAGTGGCTGCAGAACTTTCGGATGAGAAAAGCCACTTTCATGGGACTGTGTGAGGAGCTTGCCCCCACCCAGCGGCGCAAGGACACGAGATTGAGAGCTGCCCTGCCAGTGGAGAAGCGGGTGGCTATTGCAATCTGGAAGCTGGCAACTCCAGACAGCTACCGGTCGGTCGCAAACCAGTTTGGAGTGGGAAAGTTGACCGCTGGAATCGTGTTGATGCAAGTTTGCAAGGCCATTAATCGCATCCTACTCAGAAGAACAGTGACTCTGGGTAACGTGCAAGAAATAGTGGATGGCTTTGCACAAATGGGGTTCCCTAACTGTGGAGGGGCGATAGATGGGATGCACATTCCTATTCTGGCACCACCCCACCTAGGATCCGAGTACGTTAATCGGCAGGGGTATTTCTCTATGGTTCTCCAGGCGCTTGTGGATCACCGTGGGCGTTTCATTGACATTAACACAGGCTGGCCCGGAAAGGTGCATGACGCACGCATCTTTCGGAACACTTGGCTGTTCAGGAAGATGCAGGCTGGGACTTTTTTCCCAGAGCGGAAGATCACGGTAGGGGAAGTTGAAATGCCCATTGTGATCCTTGGAGATCCTGCTTACCCGTTAATGCCGTGGCTCATGAAACCCTACACAGGGAGCCTTGACAGCATCAAGGAACGGTTCAACTACAGGCTGAGCCGGTGCTGAATGACTGTGGAGTGTGCCTTTGGCCGTTTAAAGGGCCGCTGGCGATCTCTGTATGGGAAGCTGGACTTGGCTGAAAACAGCATCCCCGCGGTTGTATCTGCGTGCTGTGCCCTCCATAATATTTGTGAAGGGAAGGGTGAAAGCTTCACTCAGGCATGGACCTCTGAGGTTCAACATCTGGAGGCTGAATTTGCACAGCCAGAGAGCAGGGCTATTACAGTGGCCCAGTGCGGGGCTGCAAGGATTAGGGATGCCTTGAGGGAGCAATTTGAGGCTGAAAACCAGCAGTGATATCTGGTGTCCTGCACGGGAGTGAAGTGCAGTAATTCCAATCTTTAGGAATCAGTTTCAGCAAAGCAGACAAGCAGACTTGCAGTGCCTGTTTATTTCCTGGGCTAAGGAGTCTTTTACTTTATGCAATAATAAAGAATGTTTTCAAAGCCAAACAATCCATTTATTGAAAAGAAAAAAAAATTATTTATTGAAAAGAAACAAGGCGGTGGAGTGGGGAACAGTACAATCACAGATTCGCGTATGTCCTGTCTGGTGTGCTGTGCAGTGAGTGCTGCACTTCAGGACAGCTATACTGCATGGTGATGGGGGTTGAGTGGTTTTCAGGGCTGGGTGGTGAAGATACTGGTGTTGGAGGCAGTGGGTGGCGTGAAGAACACGGAAGTTGGGGAAAGTGGGTTGGAGGTGACAGTGGGGCACAACGGAAAGAGTTTTGGGACAAGGGCTGTAGGGGGGGTGGCATTTGCGTTTGCGGTACTGCTCCTCTTTCTGCATGGCTACCAGCTCCTGGATAGCATCTGCTTGGCGCTCCAGGATGCTTATGAGCCTATCAGTGCTTTGCTGCCGGTGCGCTGCGTTTTCCTGCCGGATCCTGCTTTCTCTCTCCCTCCAGTCCTTTGCTTTCTCATTCTCTTTAATAGATTGCCGCATCACTTCTTGCAGCATGTCTTCTTTGCTTTTTCGCGGTCTCTTCCTGAGTCTTTGAAGTCTCTGAGCAGGCGATAAGAGGGACGGCTGAAGTCTCAAGGTTGATGCAGCTGTATAGGCAAAATGAAACATTTAACAGAGGCAGCATTGTTTATACCAGACAGAGTAATGATTCCCCCCGCACTTAAGGAGTAGAAAACACACAGGGTCTACACATTAGCATAATTTTCCCGTCCGAAACAGAGCACACGCATCCCACGGGAGCCTCAAAATGGTGAGTAAGGGGGACTGATTGTTTTAAGCCTGCACTGTCCTCTGGGTTTCTGTGCCTTGGGGAGAGCCAACAGCTTCAGGGGGCACCTACACTGAACACTGTCCCAACATTTTCCACAGGAGTTCGTCCTGGACGATATCTCGCTGCTGAGGGTGACCTGGGAAGCAAGGGAGGGTCTTCTACTGCAATGCAGCTTCCGCCCTGGCCCATATGCAGCTTGCCTGGGTGCAGCAATGGTCCCCGCGGCACAGTGGCGCGGACACGTTAGCCTGGCTGGGACAAGGATCACGGTGGCTTTCCCGATAAACCTGCGCAAGTGCATTGCACACGATCTGGATGAGACATTCGAGGAGATTACCGAGGCTGATTACCGCGATGTGATAAACCACATCAATGCACTATTCCGCATCTAGGCATGCATGCCTAACCCTCCTCTCCCAAAGAGCTCGCGCCGAAAAAATTCCTCCCCCCCTCCCCCAAAAACCCGCTTACCGGGAACCTACTTTTCTGTTTGTCCTCCACCAAGTACCGGCCGCTGCGACCGGCTACCTTCCTCCTGGCTCGAGAAGAGCTCCTGGCTGCATGGCTCCAGGGATTCCGGGGTGTCTCCATCTGGCCCACCACCATCACTCCCGTTTTCCTCCTCCCCCCACCCCACACCGGCTCTGAAGTGTCCATGGTGGTGCTCGGAGTGGAGGTGGGGTTAACCCCAAGTATCGCATCCAGCTCTTTGTAGAATCGGCAGGTCGCGGGGGGAGCACCCGAGCAGCCGTTTGTGTCGCGGGCTTTGCGGTAGGCACTGCGCAGCTCCTTCACTTTAATCCTGCACTGCAGGGCGTCCTGGTCATGGCCCCTTTCCATCATGTCCTTTGATACCTTCCCGAAGGTATCGTAATTCCTACGGCTGGAGCGCAGCTGGGACTGTACAGCTTCCTCCCCCCAAACACTGATGAGGTCCAGCAACTCGCCATTGCTCCATGCTGGGGCTCGCTTGGCGCGTGGAGGCCTGGTCACCTGGAAAGATTCGCTGATAGCACTCCACACCACGCCGGGCTGAGCAAACAGGAAGGGGATTTTTTAAATTCCCGGAGAATGTAAAGGGTCGGTCACATGGCTGGTTACCTGAGGCCAGGGCAGTAGAGTTTGAACTGATGACCAGAGTGGCTAGAACAGGCATTGTGGGATACTGCCGAATAATTCTGGAGGCCATTCACAGCGCATTGGGCGGCCACACTGGCACCGCAGCGCTGCAGCGGCAGCGCAATACTCGCTATTCCTCTTGGAGAGGTGGAGTACATGCAGCGCTGCAACCACGGAGATACAGCGCTGCAAATGCCTTGCCAGTGTGCACGGTGAGTGAGTTACAGCGCTGGGGGAGCCTTTACAGCGCTGTAACTCGCAAGTGTAGCCAAGGCCTGAGAGAGTGATCACAGGACAGTTTGCTCTTGATCCAAACCAAAAGCTTTTTATGAATTTGTGTTCGTGTTCATAGTTGTCTGTGATCAGTGAAGAAAGCACAGGCTGTAAAACGCAAATTACAAAGAAAGTGTTTTGGGTCAGTTTTGGCATGGAGAGACAAATTTCTATGAAGTTGACTGTTCTCTGTGGTCCAATGCGAAAAACTTTCCCGAGTCATGAAGCCTACAAAAAATCTTGACAACAAGCTGCTGGTGTGCTGAGTCCACATATGATCATGCTGACCAATATTGTCCCTTGGTTTCCTGTGTTTTTCCCCCATCGGTCTATCCATCTCTTGTCTCTAGTTTTATACTACTCTTTGGCGCAGGGGTTGTGTTTGTTCTGTGTTTGTACAGTCCTGGTCTGTGATTGGGACTCCTCAAATAATAACACTGGTTATCTGGATTTAGGATATCTCCATTAATTTATTATTTTATCTCCTAGAACTGGAAGGGATCTTGAAAGGTCATTGAGTCCAGCCACCTGCCTTCAGTAGCAGGACCAAGTACTGATTTTGCCTCAGATCCCTAAGTGGCCCCCTCAAGGATTGAACTCACAACTCTGGGTTTAGCAGGCCAATGCTCAAACCACTGAGCTATCCCTCCCCCCTCACTTCTATACAATCCTGAGTGGAAAGCTAAAATTCACAGCTGAATGGATCGTTTCCCCTCACATTAGGTTATAACTTAATTTTGCAGACATTCTAAGCATTCTCAGAGGAATATACAAATTGAGGGTTTTTTTTCTAATGCATTTCTGGCTTTATTTCTCCCCAGGGACATGCACTATGGAAGTAACTACATTGGAATCAGACTTCAGTGGAATCACTTTTTATGGTAAACAATGCTGTGAATTGGTAAGTAACTATTAATATGTAAGGGATTGGCAGGATGCCTAATGGAGGTTCTTATTTAGGTGATCTGCACACTGATTTTGTATGTGAATAGCTGTCAGGGTGTAGGTTGGTTTTTTTTTTTTTTTAATATATCACTTAAATCATTATACTGGTATGGTACCTAATCAGAACACAGTTATACTTATATGAAGATGATCTATACCAGTATAGATTATTCCCCTTCCACTTTGGGAATAAGCTATATGAGTGTATCTGGCCCTCAGAAGGAGTCAGGGGCTTGGCTTACCTCTGACAGGCTGCACTAGGGTGGATGAGGCAACTCAGGTTCATCTGGCTTACTGAGTAATTGGAAGGCATTTAATTAGGCAGTGAAGCACCTGGGCGTGATAAAGAAAGCAATTCCCAGAGGGGATGGGAATCCAATGAAGGAAACCCAGGGAGAATGTTCTTCAGTGGGAGAGTTTCTGGAAGGAAGGACTATGAATGATTAGGCTCAGAGAAACCTGGCTCCCGTGAAAGACTTCAACAGGCAGAAGCCCTGGAAAAGAGAAATTAGATGTTGTCCTGAGGAAAGGTCTTTGCAGTTTGGCCTTGATCCAGGAGAAGAGACCCTCCCCCAGTTAGTAAGAAGAGGCCCTGGACTCTAGAAAAGGGTTCCAGGTCATGAAGGCCTTACTAGTAAGGGACGTGGGACATAACTAGGTTGACAGACTAATGCTGGCTCAGCCCTTGCACCTACCTACTAGAGATGCTGAAGTGGAGACTTGTTTGTGTGGTATTCCACCTTTGGGGTTGAATAAACTAGGCCCCTGAAGGGGTGATGTTGAATATATGCATCTCATTGGACTTCATAAAACCTTCACTCAGGGAAACTGAGGCAGAGACACAATGGTGGGGCTGCACTGGGCTGCCAGGGGATACTCTAGGATGAGGGCCCTTGTTATGGTATGGTACTAGAAGTGGGGTATGAGGCCCCCTCCCATCATGTAGGAATGATAACACGGAGCGATGCTTACACTCATCTTGAGTGAAAAATATCGTATATTCTGGATCTGCAGAAGGAGCAGCAGTGACAACTCAAGGAGCACTTGTCACAGGCTTGGCGGGGAGCCCAGCAGTCCATGTAGTCTGTCACAGACGCTGAAGGGAAAGAAGTCAGATGGTCCTGCTAAGGGGGTGCAAGTACTGTGGGCAAGAGGGGGCATGCAAGTTGGGTTTGCCCCTGGAGTAACAAGGGAGATTACTGGCTGATGCAGAGTACTGTGGCGCACCCAGAAAGGGCTGGGTCACAAAGGATGTCTAGTCTCAGAAGCAAGAGACCCTGATGTCTCTTAAAGAGACTGACACAAAACAGTTTGTGGCCAAGAAGAGTGATTGTCCTAGGGTTAATGTGCTTGAAATGTGGCGAACTGGGGCATGTAAAGAGACATTGCCTGGCAAGAACTTTGAACTGTAAACAGAGGGGACCTCCCAATGGGGATGCATTAAGTTGTGTAACAGGAAACTCACAGTATAGAAGCCAGGGCTAGAGCTTGACCAGAGGGTTCACCCTCCCCCCACTCTGATTTATCGGGGATACACTGATTTTTCTTGTAGCCACAGGGCAGAAGAACATCAGAAGTTTGAAGGGCTTGATGGTCCCAGCACTTGCCGGGAAAGGAAGAAAGGGCCCCAGGCTGAGGAAGCTTGGGGGCAAGATCAGCCTAGGTCCCAAAGTTCCCAGAGTCCCAGGGAGCATGTGGGGCAAGAATGCAAATGAGATGGTGAAGCAGTTATCCAGTTTGCAGATGCAAATGTAGGTTTTCCTGGGAAAATTATTTGAGCAAGGGAAGCAAGCCGATCAACTATCTGACATGTAGGTTGGGCTAGTAGCAAGTAGTGAGGGAAATTATTTAGTCAGGTCTTGGATTAAAGTGTTTGAAAGGGAATGGAGCCTTACTCAGGAGAAACTTTGTGTTAGCACTCAAGAAGCCCAACAGGTAAGAGTGCAATGCCAACATTTAGATGGGCAGACAATGTTTAAAATACTGAAAGCTTTGAAAGACAGTAAACCTGAATAAGATGTCAAAGACCAGATGCTGCCTGACCAGGAGAGACTGTTCACAGCGGTGGCCAATACGCAAGGCCAAGAAATCCTGACTTTTTTTTTAGGCTCAGAGATGGGGTAGCTTAAGTCAAGAGTCCAAGAGACAGGATGACTGATCAGGAAAGCAAATATTTACTCAAGGCTGAAAGCAGATGCAAAGGAGTCTGAGTACAGGTCTCTTCTTGCTGCTTTAGAGGTGAGAGTCAGGGCCGGTGCTACCATTAAGGCGAACTAGGCGGTTGCCTAGGGCGCCAAGATTTGGGGGTGCCAAAAAGCAGTGCCCCCAATTTTTTTTTACAGTGTTCCTCCCCGAGCGCATGGTCGCCGCTCCACTTCTCCCGCCTCCCAGGCTTGCAGCGCCAATCAGCCGTTTGGCGCCGCAAGCCTGGGAGGAGAATTAGAGCGAGGGTGGTGTGCTCGGGGAGGAGGCGGAGCAGAGGTGAGCTGGGGTGGGGAGCTGCCGCACGGCTCCCCGGGGTGGGGAGCTGCTGCAGGGGGGGGGGGGGGGGGGGGGGGGGGGCCGGGGGGGGGGGGGGTGGGGCGCAAGGTGGAAATTTTGCCTAGGGCGCGAAACTTCCTTGCACCGGCCCTGGTGAGAGTAGTGCATGTGAAAAGCTGTGCAGTTCAAAGTCTAAGAATAATAGAATCATAGAAGATTAGGATTGGAAGAGACCTCGGGTGGTCATCTAGTCCAATCCCCTGCTCAAAGTAGGACCAACCCCAACTAAATCATCCCAGCCAGGGCTTTGTCAAGCTGGGCCTTAAAAACGTCTAAGGATGGAGATTCCACTGCCTCCCTAGGTAACCCATTCCAGTGCTTCACCACCCTGGTAGTGAAATAGTTTTTCCTAATATCCAACCTAGACCTCCCCCCCTGCAACTTGAGACCATTTGTCCTTGTTTTGTCATCTGCCACCACTGAGAACAGCCTAGCTTCATCCTCTTTGGAACCCCCCTTCAGGTAGTTGAAGACTGCTATCAAATCCCCCCTCATTCTTCTCTTCTGTGGACTAAAGAACCCCAGTTCCCTCAGCCTCTCCTCATAAGTAATGTGCCCCAGCCCTCTTATCATTTTTGTTGCCATCCGCTGGACTCTCTCCAATTTGTCCACATCCTTTTTGTAGTGGGGGGACCCAAAACTGGACACAATACTCCAGATGTGGCCTCACCACTTCCAAATAGACGGGAATAATCACTTCCCTCTATCTGCTGGTAAGGCTCCTACTATGCCATTAACCTTCTTGGCAACAAAGGCACACTGTTGACTGATATCCAGCTTCTTATCCACTGTAATCCCCAGGTCCTTTTCTGCAGAACTGCCGCTTAGCCAGTCGGTCCCAGCCTGTAGCAGTGCATGGGATTCTTCTGTCCTAAGTGCAGGACTCTGCACTTGTCCTTGTTGAACCTCATCAGATTTCTTTTGGCCCAATCCTCCAATTTGTCTAGGTCACTCTGGACCCTATCCCTACCCTCCAGCGTATCTACCTCTCCCCCCAATTTAGTGTCATCTGTGAACTTTCTGAGGGTGCAATCCATCTCATCATCTAGATCATTAATGAAGATGTTGAATAAAACTGGCCCCAGGTGTAACAATGCTGGTTCTGGCGGGACCCAACTGAGAGTGCCAATTCAGGACAAATCGCTTAAAACAGGGCAATTACAGCCCAAGGCTGGGGTTTTTTCACCTCTAAGGCAAACCAAACCAGCCAGACAAAGAGGACTTTTGTCTCATCCCACTGGCTAACCACAAGTCACAAAAGCAATTCCCTTAGACACTCCAGTTTCCCAGTATCCCTACCAGTGCCACTTGTTATGGGGACAAATGGATATGAAAACCAATACCCCAGTAAAAGAAAAAAGGTTCTCTCGATCCCAAAGAACCAATCCCCAGACCCAGGTCGATATACAAATCAGATCTTATCCACAAATCAAGCTGTTGCCAATCCTTCAGAATCTAAAGGTTTATTCATAAAAGGAAAAATATATAGATGATTCCATTTAACCAATTCTAGCTCTCAATTACATACAGTAATGGCGAAGTTTTTGGTTCAGGCTTGAAGCAGGGATGAAATAAACTGCAGGTTTAAATCAAGTCTCTGGAGTACATCCCCAGTTGGGATGGGTGATTTAGTCCTTTGTGTAGAGCTTCCATTTGTAGCAAAGTCCCTCCAGAGGTATGAAGCAGGATTGAAGACAAGATGGAGATGAGGCATCAGTCTTTTATAGTCTTTTCCAGGTGTAAGAACACCTCTTTGTTCTTACTGTGGAAAATTACAGCAAAATGGAGTCTGCATCACATGGGCAGGTCCCTGCATACTTTGCTGAGTTACAAGGCTTATCTGCCTTCTTTCAATGGGTCAGTTGTATAGCTGATGGTCCTTAATGGGCCATCAAGCAGGCTAGGCAGAGCTAACACCAACTTGTCTGGGATGTCTCCCAGAAGCATAGCATAATTTTGAAATACAGACAGTATAGAGCCAATATTCATAACTTCAACTACAAAATTGATGCACACATATAGATAGCATAATCATAAGCAGCAAACCATAACCTTAGACACCTCATTTGACCCCCTTTATACAAGATTTGGTGCCATTACAGGACTTTGGTTGCAACCATGTTCTATATGGTCCCAGTTTAAGTCAATAACGTGACACCAGGACAGACCCCTGGGGCACTCCGCTTGATACTGGCTGCCAAATAGACATTGAGCCGTTGATCACTATCCATTGAGCCTGACAATCTATCCAGCTTTCTATCCACCTTATAGTCCATTCATCCAATCCATACTTTTTAAACTTACTGGCAAGAATACTGTGGGAGACCGTATCAAAAGCTTTGCTAAAGTCAAGATATATCACGTCCACCACTTTCCCCATATCCACAGAACCAGTTATCTCATAGAAGGCAATCA